GCCTTGGATAATCAAACAAAGTGCAGTGTGCCCTTTTTACTTTTCCTAAGTCGTGCTATCCCTCCTCACCAGCTTTATTGTATTTTTTTATCTTTTTTTTGGTAATAACTATTTGGGTTTTTTGGCTTTGTTGGGGCTTGTCTTTTTTTTTTTTTTGGAAGTCCAATCTCTACATTTGCTTTTTATTTTAAAGGGAAAGCCTTAAAAGCCCTTTTTCCCCCCCTTTCCAGGTATTTTTGTTTTTTCATCTACCTTTCTGGTTTATTTTTATGCACTTTTTTCTATTTGAGATCTTTCAATTGGAAGAACCTGAAGAATTTTTGAAGAACCTGAAGAATTTTTCCTTTTCCTTTTTTTTTCTTAAGTCTTTTTCTTTATCTATTGATTGGATTAAGGTATACAAGAACCTGAAGAAATTTTTTCCTCCCCCTTTTTTCCCTTTTTTTAATGATTATTATTGGGCTTCTTTTTTCTACTATTTTCATTTTGAACTATAATTGGTTACTTCACAATTGTATTAAGGTTTAGAAGAACCTGAAGATTTTGAATTGCTTAAAATGAGTAGGAAATTTATAGCTCCTGGTTCTTCAACTTCTACTTCTGCCTCTCCACCATCTGGAGGACAACGTTCAATACAGACAATGTTAAAGCAAGAAAAAGAACAACAAAAAGTGACTCTGCAGATGATTATGCAAGGAATTCAAAATATTCAAGCAAGATCAGAGAATATTGAAAAGAGAACAGAGAACATCGAACAAAGAACAGAGAACATTGAACAAAGAACAGAGAACATTGAACAAAGAACAGGGAAAACCGATGAAAAAGTGGAGAACATCCAACAAATGATGTTGAAGTATGATGAGAGATTCCAAAAAATTGAAGAAGATAAACAAAGAGACAAGAAGATTGGAGATATTGATAATAGATTAATGGTGGTTGAACAAGATAAAAGTGGTATGTTGAGATGGGAGATGGATAGATCAGAATTCTATCTTAGATTCCAAAACGTAGAGTAAGAAAAAGGACAAAACCTAGCTGAGATAATGATAGAAATACTGGCTGAAGCTTTGGAAATAACTCAAGAGAAGATGATGGATGGAATAGATGAGGTTTATCGAGTTTTCACAAGATATGCGATGAGAAATAGCTTACCAAGAGAAGTTCACATTAGATTAACATTAAAACGCAAATATTGCAAGTGGCAAAAGAGAAAACATTGAAATACAAAGACAAGGAGATTGTGGTCTTGAAACAAATACCCAGAAGAGTGAGAGAGATGAGAAGAGAATACCGATTCCTGACTAAAATGCTACTTAAAAAAGTGGTTGGAAAAAATGACAAAAAAGCATATAGATTTGAAACCAGAGATATTTTTGTTGGGAATGTTATATAAATTTGGGATCTTTTCTGTCAATGGTTAGACAATAAAGTACAGTAATGAAATGTTATGTCTCACCTTTCCAATGAGGATGGAAAGTCCACAACTCTGACAAAATACAGGCAGGCAAGAAGATTCAGCAACTATAGAGTTAATTCTTTGAAGCAGGCAGTGCTCTTGGCAGTATCACACACATGCTGCCTGCCAAGTCCGACAAGATAACAGAACCATAAATCACGAAGGCCCCCAATAAACAGAATACACCGGAGCTCCACAGAAAAACTCACACTTTGTCCCGTGCGAAGTTCCTAGAGCAAACACACCCACTTTTATTCCCTGTGGGGTGTTTCACTAACTCAGCTCAGTCTCTGATTCGTCCACGTCTCCTGCGCTGCATCTCACACTTCCTCCTGCGACGTTGCCTAGCATCAAGCCAGCATTCATCTGCTTGATTCTCTGTCAGAGGCTGCTCCGATATGCCCTCCTCCTTCTCCTGATTAGCCTCAGGCTTTCCCTCTCGGTTATCTGCCGACACCTGAGGCACAATCAGGGAGGAAGGCATTGCCGAAGAGGAAGGTCCTGGGGAGGAAGGCATTCCCAATTCCTCCAATTCCCCATCGTCCGAGTCCTCTTCCTCCAACAATGCAGGCTCAAGCCTCAGAGCCACAACAATGAAATATGTAGACTTTTAGAAAATAATAAATATATAAAGATGTACTTCTTTCTTATTATATCTACAAAATGATTTTAGGATAGATTTGGGATGATAATATGAACTGTTATAAAATAAACTAAGTAAATTATGGTTATCTTGTAAAACATGAATGAATAAAAGTATAGTCAAATGATTGATTAATAATGATATTAAGGTATTTAATTTTTGATTGACAATATGAGATTATATGTAATGTAATTGTAATTGAAGACTATGAAATGGAAGCACAAAACAATTTGTAAACCAACCGGCACACTGTATGTACACCTATGGAAGATAGCTTGATGTTTTTATGTTTTGTTTGTTTATGTTTGTTTTTAAAAACCAATAAAATTTAAAAAATAAAGATATTGAAGAGCACTGGGCCTAAGACAGAAACTAGTGGCACCCCACTGCTTACTTCCCTCCATGTAGACTTAGACACATTAAGGACTACTCCTTGAGTACGGTTTGTCAGCCAGTTGTGAGTCCATCTGGTGGTGGTGCTATCTATCCCACTTTTTTCTAGCTTACCAAAAAGTAGGTTGCGGTCTACTTTGTCGAATGCCTTGCTGAAATCTAAGTATATTATGTCCACAGTATTTTGCTGGTCTACTAATTTAGTCACTACGTTGAAGAATGAAATAAGATTGGTTTGGCACGATCTGTTTTTAACAAACCCGTGCTGACTGCTAGTTATTACTTTGTTTCTAAATGTTCGTAAATTATAGTTATCTCGCAAAGTATGAATGAACAAAATTATAGTCAAATGATTGATTAATGGTGATACTAGGGTATTTAATTTTTGATTGATAATATGAGTTAGTATGCAACGTAACAGTAATGGAGACTATGAAATGGATGCACAAAAAATTTGTAAACCAACCGACACACTGCTTGTACATTTTTTTTCCTTTTTTGAAGATGGGAACCACATCAGCTCTTTTCCAGTCCTCTGGTAGTTCCCTGGTGCTCCAGTATTTTTGAAAGATATGGTGCAGTGGTTCTGCGATGACCTCTGCCAGCTCCTTTAAAACTCTGGGATGTAATCCATCAGGCCCTGGTAATTTGCGTTCATCAAGATCAGACAGGTGTTCTCTATTTTTTTGCTTATTTTAACTTTTATTTCTGGTCTGTCTTTTACAGTTACCTTTTTGGTGGGTTGAGCTATAGTTTCTTTTTGCGTGAAGACCGATGCAAAGAGTGAGTTAAGCAGTTCTGCTTTCTCTCTGTTGCCTGTTACTTCCTTGCCGTCTTCTCTCTTTAGTGGACCGACTGTTTCCTTGATTTTTTTTCTTGTTATTTATATGTTGGAAGAAACTTTTTTTTATTATCTTTGACTTTTGTTGCAAGTCTTTGTTCGTTCTGAGCCTTTGCTTTCCTGGACTTCGTCTTTGCAGATTCTGGCTATCTGCTGATATTCTGCCCTTTCAATTTTTTGTACTTGCCCTTTTTGTCTTTCAATTTGCCAGAGAGAACTTTGTGCAGCCATGCTGGTTTCTTCTTGGATTTCTTGTTTTTCTTTCTCAGTGGTATTGTGCTGGTCTGGGCTTCTATGATCGTACTTTTTAGAGTTTCCCAAGATTCTTGAGTTGTTTTCCCCTTTAGGGTTTTCATCTATGGAATCTTTCCCAAGTTCTGAGTTTATTAAAATCAGCTCTTTTAAAATCCAAGACTCTGGTGTCATTATGTTCTATTGCTTGTGTTTGTGTTATGTTGAATTGTAGTATGACATGGTCACTCTCACCCAAGATAATGTTATTATAAATCTGGTTAGAATTATGTTCTAAACTGAACAGAGAAAACACATTTTTTTAAAGCATACAATCCCAGTTTCTCCAAGTTGCCTTGAAGATTGCAACAAAGGATGTTTGGCTGACATGATAAATAACCAGGCAGGTTGGGAATTCTGGAAGCTGCCATACCCACACAGATGGAAGAGGCTACTTTTACCAGCTGTAGCTCTCTCACACAACAGATCTCCACCATCTAAGGCAGAGGAAGATTTTCCACCCTGCTTGCTAACAAATTCTTTAAATCAGATAGACCGAGTACTTGGTATAGGTAAAACAGAACCACAGTGCACCAATCTCCTCACAGAACCAAAAATTGTGATCATTCAAGTCACACTGAGAAATGTTGCAATGTTTTCTTTAGTGCACAGAAACACATGCAGACAACACCACCACCACCACCACCACCCCGCTATTCGTCCACACCCAACCTTTGCTGGTTGAGACAGTGAATGACTGTTCGAGGTCATCAATGGAGGCCTGTAGAAAGACAAGAAACACAGGGGGTTCATTATTTGGAGCAGGCAGAAAAGCTACCTGAGAGCTTTTCAAGGACCCAGGTACTTTTCCTTTGGAAGTAGAAGTATGGTAAGGTTTTTTTTTCTACAAGGAAGGATGGATTCATGAGTATCTTTAATGTAGGATTGACTGCTTTCCATGACAGGTAATTAGGCTAGGAATGGTTGTTAACTAAGTCAAACTACTCTTAATTCATCACAATTCTCTTTTTTGCATTTCAAAACAAAAACTCAAGTGTTTTTGACCCAGGGCACCAGTGACATCTCTTGGTAACCAGAACTGGAATGTAATATGGCAATATTTCTTCCAGAACAATACCCATTGGAAAAGTGTTACATGTAGTCCTTCACTTACAGTCATTCATTTAGTGATCACTCAAAGTTACAACGGCACTGAAAAAAGTTACTTATGACCGTTGCAGCACCCCATGGTCACGTGATCAAAATTTAGATGCTCTGCAACTGGCATGTATTTATGACGGTTGCAGCGTCCCAGGGTCATGTGACCCCCTTTTGTGACCTTCTGAAAATCAAAGTCAATGGGAAAGCCAGATTCACTTAGCAACCGTGTTACTAAACTAACAATTGTAGTGATTCACTCAACAACAGTGGCAAGAAAGGTCATAAAATGGGGCAAAACTCACTTAACCATTGTCTCGCTTAGCAAGGGGAATTTGGGGCTCAATTGGGGTTGTAAATTGAGAACTACCTGCACTGTACACTACTACTGACCTGCATTCACTTGCTATTAACTTCCAGATGCTGATTAAAGCCCTTGTTTTAATCTTCTACAAATTTCTCAATGGCTTATGCTGTATGATTGGGATTAGGTGAAAGAGGCCAAAAGTTTTTTTTACTACTGTTGTATATGAGTGTGTGTCTATATGCATGCACAGATCATTGTTTTCCAGACTCTTGCTCTCTCGTTATTCATCCTAAGACCACTAAAGCACATGGGGTGTACTTCATACTTGGTTCTACTTACCATCCAACTTACAGAAAAATCTACCACAAACCGTGCACAAACATTTGCAACAGGCTGCAAAAAGGATGGTTATTTCTACTCATCTACATTTTCTAAAAACAAAACAAAACAACAAACAAGCAAAAAACCACTATCCTCCTGACCAATTTGGTCAATTGATCTACCATCCAATTATTTCTTTGAAATTAGGAGCAAACATTTGTTATCGCTTTCTCTTCTCCACACTGTAAAACAATGACAATAAAGCCCTACGTTTTGTCCCCAGCTCAGCACAAAACCTCAAAATATGGGGTGTTTTGTTTGAAGCTGTGAACAATAATAAAAGCCAATTCAAGTTCTGATAATTTTGTGCATGCCTGGAATTTTGGTGTAATTCTGGAAAAAGGTATAAGGTTGAGGTATTCACACACTACATGTTTGTGCAGAATGAAACCATGGAAAGCAGTTTACCCTACATAGAAACAACCTTAATATCTTTTCATAAAATAGAATTTCTCGCAACATTGCCCCATGTCATTTCTAGAAAAGCATGCAACTATTGCTAAGGACTGAGAACATGTCATAAATTAGGCCCAGAAAATTGTAGTTACCTACCTGCTCCTCTGGGTCACTTTCTGTATCACACTGTCAAAGAACAACAGAGAAAAAGAAACAGATGTCAAACAGAGCAATATAATGGAAAATATCCCTCTATTTTTTTATCGTAATATATATATAAAACACACACACACATATCCACTATAAACTCTATACTTTATAGAGATTTTTAGTGTGACAGCAAGCTAGGTCTTACTGCATCCAATACAATATATATTTTGAAGAGTATTAAGAGCACAAAACATTCTTAAAAATTGTAGAACACATGAAGAATGATGTGCTATTATTGTACACAAATTGAAATTAGTCAGGATACCCCAAGAGACCCTAAAATGCATTGGAATCTATCATTAAAAAAATCAAAGCATCCACACATTTGGCATCATTGCCAGAATTGCAAAGAACCATAACTAAGGGAGTGAATGAGCATTTTAGCATTTTCTAGCTGTCCTATACACAATCCATCACTTGCTGTAGTATATTCATTAAGAGGAGCTGATTTCTCTGCTCTTCTGGGGAAGCCATTTGTAACTCAATTAAAGCCTGCTTTAGTCTGAGGGAAAGAATTCCACTGATGGAATGCTTGGGCAGTTAAAATTCAGTCTTGCAGAATCCTGTTTTGAAAGAGTTGAGGAAAGAAGGTCCGTACACTACCCACTTACTATATATCCAGTTTCCAGGTAAGATTGGAGAGAAGGCTGAATTTGATTTAAAAAAAGAGAACAGAGAGAGAGAAATTGATTAGACTCACAACAATGAAGCTTGCCACTCCAAGAGCAAACAGGCCAGAACTCTAGATACCAAGTTCTGTTTTGCTGACAGGCTAATGGAATTAGAACTATACTGAAAATAAGAGGATGCCTACTTTCAAAACATGTGAGCAGTATTTCTAAAATAGGTCAACCTTGATTTGTAAACACTATACAGGTCAATAGAGCATGTTTGGAAAATAATTGCTCCACTCTTTGCTCTATTTTGTTAGCCATATGACAACATACTGATGATTGTGCTAAGATTATTCCTGTATAAACAATTTAGCAGGTTCAGTTACAAAGCAGAAAATACTGCACTTTGTGAATCTCTCAATAGTAATAACAACAAATCTCCCACGAAGGGAAACCCAATTGTCTGTATTTCAGGAACGTAGTACGAGGAGCCAGAAAACTCCTTCAAAAAAGGCCCCCAAAACTGCAATTGCTAATGTGAAACAAGGAAATGGTTATAAAATAATGGAAAATAATTGTTAATAATTTAAATTAAAATATTTAAAATTAAATGTGAATTAAAGTTAATTTTCTTTCTACCCACATTTAAAGAATGTATCTGGCATGCCATTCAAACAGCTAATGCAGCCATCCTAGTATAGGTACAGAAGACATTATGTCTTATTATATAGGTTCCAGGAAGCTGTCCTTTAGATTTAATTATGTATTTTTTTTTGGTTTTGCTCTTCAATTTTCCTTTGTAAAGCAAAGTTATAAAAACATTTTTAATTCTTACATACCTCTCTCCAATTTGTCCTTTATTTTTTTCCAAACCCTACTGCTGTTGGTTTTACTTCAACTACATAATGAAAAAATCTGGGATTTCAATTCATCTTAGGATGATAGATTCAACTACCGTGTTTCTCAGAAAACACGACCCACCCCAATAATAATATTATACCTACCACAAAAATAAGCCCAGGGGATGGGAATGGACAGCATGAGTGGTGGTGCGGGCACCCGGGGGGTGGGGGGACTGTCTGGCTGCAGAGAGGGGCGAAAGCCATTCTACGCTGAAGCAGAAGCATTCCAAGCCTCAACTTCATCCCAGGATTGCCAACGCTGAAGGTTTGGAATGGAGCCTTCAGCGTTGCAATCTTGAAATACGCTGAAGGCTCAGAGTGGAGCCGTTTTTGTGAAAGGCAGGAAAATGGGGAGAGGAATTTTCCTGCCTGTTATCCACTCCTCTTGGAGTAGGACCCTGCAAGGCTTGTTGTGGCGTTGCACTCATGAATGGCAGCACCTCCGTGAGCTTCATCACACCGGTGCAGCTGGCATCCTGCCATGAGTGGCTGCGCCAGTGTATCCAAACTCGCATGCGCAACGGCACAGCAATCCTTGCAGGGTCCTGCTCGAAGAGGCTGCGCCGATGTGACGAACCTCACGGCAATGCCGCTGCTCGCACGCACAACTCTACAACAAGCCATGCAGGGTCCTGGGATATGCTGAAGGCTTGGAGTTGAGCCATTTCTGCGAAAGGCAGGAAAATGTGGAGGGAGAGGGAGCTTGAGGAATGGATGATAGGCAGGAAAATCTCCCCTCCACATTTTCCTCCCATTTGCCAAAAAGCCTCCATTCCGAATGCTGAAGTTTTGGAATGGCGGCTTTTCGGCGAATGGGAGGAAAATGGGGAGGGGGAATTTTCCTGCCTGCCATTCTTCCCTCAGTCTGTGCTAAGCTTGAGGAATAGCTCCTTTGGGCCGCTACAGAAGCGGCCCAGTGGAGAAGAAAGGGTGCGCATGGGGCGCTCCTTTCAGCCACGATAGAAGCAGCCCGGTGGCTAGGCGAGGCGCGTGGAAGAAAAATTAAGACACCCCTTGAAAAGACAGCCTAGCGCTGGGGGGGGGGGGGGGGGGGGGGGGGGGGGGGTTCCAAAAGAAAATAAGGCCTTGTCTTATTTTCTAAGAAACATGGTATCTAGCTGTTTTGGACGTGTTAATAAACAAAAGAAGGAACAGAAAATTCAAGAAAACTACAGGCTGAGTTGTCCTGAACTGCTGCTTTGTCTTATTTCCAATAAAAGCTTAGCAAATTTTATGCATGTATATTAAGACCGAGGGGTGGGGTTTAATGACATATGTAAATATTGCAACTGTATAATACAGGCAATCCCTGGTTTACGAGCATTCCCTTAGTGAACATTCGAAGTTATGCGATAAGTGCCCCACAGCGTTTACAAACAGGTCCCAAAATTACGAATGTTGCAGCACCACAGTTGTTTGCACTTACGAACAACCGCAGAGGCTCTGGAACATTCACCCTGCCTATCCCCCCACTCCCAGATGGCTCGAAGGCTTCGGCAATGAAAAAGAAGGCGTGGAAAGCCACACGTGGCCCTCCAGGCCTCCTTTCTCGCCTCCAGAGCCCTTTTCAAGCCGTTCGCATGCACTTCTGGTCTGCAATTTTCACAGTGAAATGGCTTGAAGAGGGCTCTGGAGGCGGGAAAGGAGGCCCACATGTGACCTTCCGTGCTTCCTTTTCATCACTGAAGCCTCCTTCCAAGCCCTTTACTGACAAGAAAGGAGGAAACAAGCAAAGAAACAAGCTGGAGAGGACACAGATCTTCATAAGCTAAGTCACCAGGCACGGCAGGATGGGGGAGGAAGCAATTGTGGGTACCCCAAGGGAGGGAAAATGAGGTAACTGCGGGTCGGGGGAGGCCCTGGGTAGTCTGAAGTAGGTGACCTGTTCCATTACTAGCCCCCCCATTGCCTTCCCCACCCCGAGATACCTCATGTTCACTTAACGAGCCACACATTCGATTAGCGAATGTGTGGGCGAAAGGAGGAAGTGATCACGTTCATTGTACAAGATTCACTCCTACAAATCCTTGGGTTATGAATGGAATGGGCAGGCTCCATTACTTTTGTAACTCGAGGACTACCTGTATTCCCTTCACTGAGTCTACGAGTCATAGGTTTCATTGCTCATGATCCTAGCTCTGATTCTGCATAGAGCAGAATGATGGTTTCCTGCTGTCATTGCACTTTTGTGCTTTTCCCCTACTGAGTATTAATGCTTACATCCCTTGCATGGCAAATTATAACAGATGAGCAAGCCAGTGTTTACCCCAATGGAACATCATTTTGAGTACAAAGCTGCACTGGCTCTATGCAAGTACTGCCAACATGTAGTTCCCTTGGTTAGACACAGGTGGCCACGCATCACTCCTCACCCTTAGTATTTGCAAGGCCCCTAGCTTCACCCGGACCTAATCTTTTTAATTCTATTATTTTAAAAAACAAATGGAAAACTGCAAAACATAGTATCAGTTGCCAAAGCTATTTTTATTTTCAAATATGCATCTGGATCCACATCAGCACCACATGTATACTCAGAAATGATATTGAGGGATTTCCAAATATAGATTAATAAAGTCTGGGCTCATAATACACTAGATTTAACTTTGATTGAGAAGGAGGTGTGGGTAATTGATGTGGCAACACCATGTGCAAAATAAAAGGAATTGGGAGAAAATCACTATCAAGATCTGGAAAATCGAAATGAAAAGATTATGGCATAAACCAGCCATGGTGGTCCCAGTAGCTATCAGCACACTGTGTGCCATACCAAAAAAAATCTTGGATGGCACTTGGAAAATGTGTGGATCGACAAGTTACCATCTGACAATTGCAGAAGGCCACACTGCTTGGATCCACACGTATACTGCTCCGATATGACATCCTAGGAAGAATTTGATGTGTGTGTAGGCCAATACTAGTTAAAGAATTGGCAGCTGTGACTTAACATTGTTGTGAACAGAAAATAATATTACAAACTTGTGCATTTAACACATTTAATACTTTGGAATTTGAAACTGCTAGGCTGCTCAGAAAATTATAGCGGTTATTATAGCCTGATTTGTGACAGGCTATAATCACAATGGCAAAGTTATGAACAGGCAAGGCTACATTCCCATGACGGCTGCTGTACCTACTGGCTCAGAAGGCTATAGGCCTTCTGTTGCCACAATCTATTTGCTCCTTAGGATCTTCCAAATACCTTGAAGTAGTGTTTCCCAAAGCTTTTCTTTCCTACTCATCTAGCCCAGTAAAAATGGCAAAGTGGAGCCTTCAAGAAACATCCTTTCAATGCAGCGAGTGATACTGGCCCTTATAGTCCATCCTGTAATTTTCCACGACAGTATTGAGAAACTGAGGTGTTCCCCAGAAGCAGATTTCTAGAAGTCTCTGTAAGCTTAATCCAGCCCACAAGTTTCCCCAGTTCAATTGAGCTGTTTTCAAACATACACCTCTGCCTGCTTCAGTTTCATCCCCCGAGTCCCACTCCCTGAACCCAAGACCTCACCTCTTTGTGCCGTCTCTTGCTTCGTTTCCTCAGTGCTCTCTCCCCTCCACAGCCCTGGCTGCGATCCTTTTCTGAGCCCTCGTCTTCATCTTCAGGCTCAGAATTGTTTCCCTCACCCCATTTCCTCTTTCCTGAATGTTTCAGCCGAAGCTCCAATTGCTCTGGAGTCTTCAAGGTTGCATCCTTCTGCAGGAGTAACAAGGTAGGCATTATAATGGCTGCAGACAATCTACCCTCTGAATAAAAGCTGTGATATCGCAGCTGCTGCTGTGGGATATAGAAATGTGCGTTTAGATATAAAAACTGGAAAGCACCTTATAAAACGTAATACAAAACTCTGGGACAAAATTGAAATATCTCGCCTGGCTACTTAACTATCAGTACTAACAATTATTTATTTTGGATCCATAAATAACATTTACATTTTTTGCACTGCATTGCAGATACTACGCAAATGAATTATCCTAACATTAAAAAAATTTGGAATCCCAATTATTTATATAATAGTATCATAAATATTATAAAAACACTTTCACATTGAAAGCCAGTAAGAAGTAGTCGTTAAAAGGCTGCCAGCTTTGGAATCCCTATAAAAAGCTGCCACACTGATATGGAGGATGGAAGGGGGGGGGCTGTTGGTATTTGAGTAATTTTTAGTAGACGTAACAGATACGTAAGACTATCAAGGTCATTCTTTATGGCGCAGCAAGAATTGTAGTTGAAGGGTGATTGGTTCACGTGATTGATGATGTGGGAGAAAATGGGTGGGTGTTGATTATTGTGGGAAGTCTGGGAGGAAACTTTAGTTTCGAAATCTCACAGACATGCCAAGTTTTTTGTTTTAATAAAGCACTTTGAGAATATGCCTGTCTCGGAGTTACTGATTAAACCGAACAATTTCTGGAACCCTGACAATATTTTGAAACTCATTTAAAAAAGGGGTTGCTGAAAAAAAAAACAGGGATTTTTTTCCAGCAATGGAGGAAGCCCAAAATTCAGCCAACCCAGAAGGTGAGACGGAAGGAACTTGGGGAGGGCCCTCTGGAGCATTAGCTGAATCTCTCAGCCCCCCTTTGGAGGAGCTAATGCAGGCATTTAGAGACGCAGAGGAGAGACATGATTTAGGAGCCAGACCAAGGCGTTCTAACTCATGGGGGAGCCATCAAACGACGCTAACCAGACTACCGGGGGAAAGGTCCTTCACGAGCTCTCTGCATACAGCAAAGGAGTCAGACTGGAGGGGTGAGGCCCAAATTGGATCAGAACCCTCTCAAGATGACAACCCCGATTTATTCTCGAAACCAATCGTTCGCAGAATTACCACAACAATTCCAGCAATTAAAAGTGGGAAGTTTTGTCTCAAAGCCACAACCTACCCGTTCAAGTTGGAGCCTGGTACAGCCCGTCTTTTCTTTCACAAGAGTAATGAGGGGAGAGGAAATTGCCCAGATGCCAGTTGGAGAGGTCCAGCGTGACAGCCCATGGCGACCAGAGGTGCTGGCTACAAGAGGTATGTTGCAACCTCCAAGTCCTCCTCCCCTACACCCAGAAAGAATTTTACCCCCTGCAGAGAGCATCCCTCCAGGGTGGGGGTTTTATCCAGGCCAGGGGTGGATCCAATGCCAATGGACGCCAGCGCCAACTAAGCCCTGGTCCAAAGGAGAGTCATCAATCCTTGACCCACAAGGGAATCCGCACACACCGCAGACAGAAGTTAATGGATTTATTTGATTATTGAGACTCAGATTTGAAAATCCAGACAGGGTGGAAGAAAATGAAGAGAAGTTAATGGAAATGAAACAGGGCAAACGACCCTTATCAGACTTTATTTGGGACTTTAGAAGGGTTGCGAGCCATCTCAGGGATTGGCCTGAAAGAATGACATTACACTATTTCAAGAACACCATTGACCCAGAAGTAAAGAAGGCATGTAACATTAGGGGAATACCAGAGATTCTGTAAGCGTGGTATGCCACCGCCCTCAGACAAGACCGCAATATCAACCCACATAAAAAACCCCTTCTGGAAGGCCTGCCTAAAAGAACCCTGACCAGATGACCGCTGACCAGACCTGCTGAAGCCACCCACATCCGACCCAACAGAATGATAAAACATTACCATTGTGGCCAAGATGGCCATAGAGCAACTGACTGTCTGGCTCCTGCACCAGTTCCACAAGCACCACAACCCAAGTCTACCACGGCTGTCAGAGGTCGAAAATTTCAAGGAAAACCTCCTGACGCTAGCTGGTTTGCTAAGCACACCCTGTAAGGTCCTCTCAACACAGAAGGGAGAAACCAACTTCCAGACCAACACCACCTCCCTGAAAACCCGACCATTGACGACCCAATGGTGAGTGCTCCCGTCATACCTTTTACTGTTAAAGTCAAGTTAGTGGTACCTAACACAGGGGAGGCAGGGGAGTTAGAAGCAGTCATTGATACTGGATGCTCTAGATGTCTTATTGGGCTTCCCATCGTTGAACAACTGGGCATAAAGACTAACCCACTAAGACACCCAATCAGATTTGAACAAGTGGATGGGACATTAATTGGGGGGACCCCAGCAACCCAATTGACAGAGTTGGTCAAAATGGAAATGGGTCCTCACCGCGAACTCATACGCTTTATAGTGGCTCCAAAAATGTCAGAATCGATCATATTGGGACTTGCTTGGCTAGATAAATGGGCCCCTACCATCAAGTGAGAGGATAGATTCAGGAAAATCATTATTGGGGTGGGCCCACTGCCCCCCACCTCCTCCCACTAAGAAAACACCACCTGACTCGAATCCAAAACGTGAACCAGCAGCCACAGCCTCGAACCTTCTCCCAGGCACACCCCAAATACCCAAAGAATACAGAGACTTGGCTGAAGCATTCAGTGAAGAGGAATGTAATGTTTTACCTCCACATTGAGCAACTGATTGTGCCATAGAGTTAGAACCCGGGGCAAAACTACCAAAACCAAAGATGTATTCCATGACACCGGCTGAAATGACCGAATTGAGGAAATACATCGATGAAAATTTGGACAGAGGTTTTATTGAACCGGTCAAATCAAGGTTAGCTGCCCCGGTGCTATTCAAGGAGAAAAAAGATGGTGGGTTGAGATTATGTGTCGACTTTAGAGGCATAAACGCTGTATGCGAAAAAAAGTACCCTCTCCCCCTCATGAAAGACTTATTAAACCACCTGTCAAAAGGCAAGATATTCACCAAGCTAGATCTGAGAGAGGCATACTACAGAGTCCGTACAAAAGAAGGAGACGAATGGAAAACAGCCTTCAACTGCCCTTTAGGTAGTTTCCAATTCCGAGTCATGCCTTTCGGACTCCAAGGGGCCCCCGCAGTATTTATGCAATTCATCAATGAAGTGTTACATCCGCACTTGTACAAGGGGGTCCTAGTCTACCTGAGTGACATCCTTATATTCAGCGAAACCATCGAAGAACACATTAAATTGGTCAATTGCTGAAAAACCTTCTAGCTGCCAAGTTATACGTAAAACTATCAAAATACAAATTCCACAAGGAATCGTTGGATTACCTGGGTTACCGAATATCCAGCCAGGGAATTGAAATGGATCTGGGAAAAGTAAAAGCCGTACTGGATTGGCAACCCCCCAAAACACGCAAGCAACTTCAACGTTTTTTGGGTTTTGCCAACTTTTATAGGCAATTCATTCCTTCTTTTGCTGAGGTTGCTCTCCCTTGACGGATTTGTTAAAAACGGGGCCCTCCCCCCTCAAACCAAAACCCAGCCTACCCCTTGCTTGGACCATGGACCGTCAGAAAGCTTTTGAAACTCTAAAACGCCTTTTTGCAGCTGAACCCATTCAACACCCAGACCCGACCAAACCTTTTATAGTCCAAGCTGATGCTAGTGATGTGGCAGTAGCGGCCATTCTGCTACAAAAAGACTCTCAGAACCAACTGATGCCTTGCGCTGATGGTTCTCCTATTAGGAAGAATCAGATAATCAGAGTTGGAAGGGACCTTGTAGGTCATCTAGTCCAACCCCCTGCCCAAGTGGGAGACCCTACACCATTTCTGACAAATGGCAGTCCAATCTCTTCTTGAAAGTCTCAAGTGATGGCGCTCCCACAACTTCCAAGGGCAAGCTATTCCATTGGTTGATTGTTCTCACTGTCAGAAAGTTTCTCCTTATTTCCAGGTTAATTTTCTCCTTGTTCAGTTTCCATCCATTATTCCTTGTCTGGCCTACAGCTGCTTTAGAAAATAGCTTGACCCCCTCCTCTCTGTGGCAGCCCCTCAAATATTGGAAGACCTCTATCATGTCTCTCCTGGTCCTTCTCTTTACTAGACTAGGCAAGCCCAGTTGCTGTTACCGTTCTTCATATGTTTTAGTCTCCAGTCCCCTAATCATCCTGGTTGCTCTTCTCTGTACTGAGTCTCAACTTCTTTTTTATAATGTGAACAAAACTGGATGCAGTACTCTAAGTGTTGTCTTACTAAGTCTCTAGAGTGGTATTAGTACCTCTCTTGATCTTCATTGCATCCCTGTTAATGCGATTTAGGATTGCATGGAATCGCTCCATTGTTGAAAGATGGGATCACATGATCGTTTGAAGACGTCAACTGGGTTCTTGTCAGGCGTCATTGGGTCCTTCTCCGTCAAACGAGGCGTGATCCCATCTGAGCCGGGTTTGACGTCATTGCACAATTGCGGAGGAAACCACGCCTTACGTTCCCCGTCAGGACTGTGACGTCACCCCACCCTCACACAGGACGGAAGTGACTCCGGCGGGGGTTGAGAGACATTAAGGGAACGACGTCCCTCCTCCGCCCTCTATGAAATGGGAGTTTAATAGGAGCAACTATCCCCCCATCTTCCGGCGGAGGGATTCCGTCGCTTCCATTCATGGATTCGGTGGCGGAAGGATATGACGCTATGGGCGGAGTTGCGTGCCGTGCGCAGAGAGGAAGGCGGTCCGGCAGAGACAGCTTAGGGAGAGAGGGAGTCTGGAGGGGTAGCAAGCTGAGACGAAGCGAGGAAAAAAAAGGACGACGGGACTTTACCCCCCTCCCCACCCGCGGGGGAAGGGGTTGCAACGCGACCAAGGCAGCTGCTCTCCGTCAACGCCGCTGACCCTATAGGCCGCCGCCACCCCACCCCCATCCTTACCGGTCTGCTTCGGCCAATCAGCTGGCGGGGGTGCCGGACGAGCGGAAGAAACCGGCCTCGCTGCCCGTCAGGCGTAGAGGCTCGCGGGACGCCCCGCCGCGCTTCGAGTGGGGGCGAGACGGGCAGCGACGACTCGAAACTACCCTCCACAGTCGGCGCTCTTAAAGGTACAGTCCGGGGGTGGGGGTGGGGACAGCGAGAAGAGGACACTTTTCCGCCGGAGATCAAGAAACCCCTCAAGCCTCCAGCTCCTGTCAATGGATTTAAAGGGAACTCGACCTCATTAAAGTTTGTCTTCGGACCTCATTGTGACTTAAGAGGGCCGGCTGTTAAGGGAGCCGCCGGAGGACTTTGAACGTAGGATGCCCAAAGGGGAGCGCGAGCTGAGCAGAGGAAGCGCTTGGAGGCTCTTTAATGCCGATGGTGGGTAAAAAATGGCTGTCTGACGGAGGAGGACTTTAATAATAATTGTGCTTAAAGGCGAGGCCGTGGTTCGACAGAAAATGTGTGGCGGACTTTTAATCGGACGTTCTTAAAGGGGATGGAATGAAAGGAAGCAGATTCTCAAGTCTGGACTTTTAAAGGGCAAGGTCATACTTTTTAGGAGGAATCCGGGAGATCTTAATTTTTTTAAAATACCCGTAAGATTTGCAAAGAGCTTCGAAAGGAAATGCCGCCACGGGAATAATTCTGGGAGCCCTTAGTCTTCAAAACGAGGAAGAAGCCAATGCTCTCCGCGAGGAAGCCATTTGCCATTGTTGGCGGAAAAGCCGCATCTGCGGTCTTAAAGGGGGGGCTCGTTAAGCTCTTATTAGCCCTCTCTGGGTAAATGTAAAAAGCCAGGCAGAAGCCCTAAGGGTACATGATGTTTTTTAGAAACACATAAATATGAACAATATATCTCTTTAAATAAATATAGGCACTTAAATCAGAAGCTTCAAAGGGAGAAGCAGCGAACTGGCAAATAGCACAGTTTAATTGGAAGGGATTGTCAGTTTTGTTGATTTCAAAGGATCTCTCCATTACTGATTCAGATCAGAGGCATGTAAAATTCCAAATAAAGCAAAGGTTTTTTGGTGTTTGGTTTTTTCCTTCTTCTGGATCCAAAGGTGGAGTTGTACCTTAAAAGAGAGTTCTGTTCACTGGCACAGGCTAATTTCCTATTAAAGGGTTATTAGATCGGTTTTGATCTTAGAATTTACTTTCAAAAGTATTTTTTAATTGACCAATCTGGCTTTGAGGAAGTCAAAAGAGCAGAAGTTTCCATTTGCATTTTCCTTAAGAGAGAATTAAACCTGAGCAAAAGAGTTACTTCCTTGACTTTCCAGAGCAAAAAGGAACTTTTTGGATTTTGAATGGATTTTTACATGTAAATCAAGGAAAGTTGGTGACAATTCAGCTATAGGAGCTAAGGACTACTTGTAAAGGAATACAAAATTTACTTTTTTTTCTCTCAAAAGCAATATAAAGGAGAACCTCTTTTTCACGAGTATGGTGCTTTTCTCCCTGGCTTCCACAGAAGAGCAGAAAGCCAGTAGGGACAGCTGTAATGCTTCTGGCTGGTGAGGGTTGAAGGGGTGTCTCCGTTGTTTTTCATGTACCTGCTACAGCCATTGGACACAACACAATTTATTTTCTGTACCTCAGAGAGGAGCATAATGGAAGGAACAACAGCAGCTCCTACCCCATGTTGGAGTGGGGGGGGAGGCAGCAGTAGCCGAGCACGGAGACAGCGACGTTGCTCACGGCGGGACCGTGAGAGTCGCTGTACACACCATAGAGGAAGCCGTCTTGGAGACCCTCCCCATCGGGGCTTGTCCTCTTCAGCATCAGACAGTGCAGGCCCCTCTCCACCTGCCCCTGTGGCTCCTAGGAAAGGACATCCCCTACAGCAGCGACGGCGACTGCCCCTCCAACCGCGGAAGAGAGTTTCTGGATCATCTTGCAGTCACAAGGAGGAGGAGGAGGAGGAGGAGGACCTCATTGATGGCTTTGCCATTGCAAGCTTTGTCAGTTTAGAGGCACTTGAGGTGAGGTGGTCCACAGTCTGTTCCAACAAATGGTCATGTCCTTTCATGCATTATAAGGCTAAAATAATAGATTGGTTGTTGCCCTTGTTTTTGGGCTTCCTTTGAGATACGATATAGGAAAGAAAGAGAGTAAACTGGGAATCCAACTCTTTATGGAGCTGTGCAGATAACTAATAATTATAAAAGATTTTGCAGAATGGTGTTTGAGAGGGGAGGTCATTTTGGAAATGAAGGTTTCTTTTTTCTTAATAGCAAGTAATTTTAACGTCATATTTTGTTACCATGGATCTTCTAATTAAAGTAGGGGTATACTTCTCAAAAAGATTGTCAGTGAAAACTCTTAAAGAGCAAGGCAAAAGGAAATTTCCAGCTGTGATTGGTGAAATTCAGAAATCTAAAATTGTTTTTTTTTATATATCCAAAGGATCAAGGGAAGATATAAAAAGAAAACATGGACAGTTATGGTCTGTGGTTTCTATATCCTGAGTTATGGTGACCAAAGGTTTTTATTTACTAATGATGATTCTGCTTAAGTAGAGAAACAATAAGATTCTTGAGGTGAGATGGAATGAGCCTATATTTTCTTGGCTAAAATGGAATCTAGGCAGTTCAGGTGCAGTCAGACAAGTTTCCATAATAAAAGTTGTTAGATGGTCTTGAGTGACTGTGTACACTTAGTACAATATCCGAACCACTTGTTTGCAAAATCCTTGTTAATATTCTTGACAAGGTCCAGCTCACAGTAAGGATGTATCTTAATGTTCTTTCTGAATTTGTATAGTGGGCATAGTCTGTGCCACAGGACACAAGTGTATTATGAACATAAAGTCTGAAAATACTAAATTATTTGAGATGAGCTTGTTTCATCCTTGATTGGGTATGAGGAACTGCCTATTTATTATGCTTGGTGGAAGAAGTGTACTTTTAGGTGTGAGTTTCAGCTTGCCACTCCCAGGCATTTTTGTAGGGCTGGAATCTGTTTCTGTAAACTACATATTTATTTGGAGGGGTTAATCAGAGGATTTCAGTAAGCAGTGCAGTTATTGGACAATATGTAAGGCCCAGCTGTTTCACCTGCTGAAGCAGAGAGAAAGCATTCCTGCTTTACTCAGGAATGTTCAAGGCTGAACATATAGACCAGTTTCAGACTGGATTCACCAGTCTTTCTGGCTAGGTAGGATTGGGTGAGGAGTAGGGTGTGAATCCAGGTGTCTTTACCAAACTCTGAAGCAGTGCAGTACACTGCCAAGAAGCATTACAACACTGTACACAGTCAAGCATACCATTACAAAAGTATGCAATAACCTTTAACGCAATAACCTGCCATCTAGAAATATACCATTGCTTCTATGATTTATCTTTTCTAGAACTCTTGCCTTTCTCTGGCATCCTTCAAATGGTCAGTCTCTTCCTTGAACCAAAGAGCCCTTTCACAAAAATGACTACCTCTCCCAGAGCAGTGTTGATCATTATGGTTTAGGTCAGCATTTGTTGCAGTGTTGCCTTATGAGTCTGTTAAATAGTTATTGGCAAGCTAGCTCCTTGATCTACATTGTCTTAATTATGGAATTTGGGACATAATTGACCAGAATAATTTATTTTGCATGAACAGGTAAAACTCAAAAAATTAGAATATCATGCAAAAGTTCATTTATTTCAGTAATGCAACTTAAAAAGTGAAACTAATATATGAGATAGACTCATTACATGCAAAGCAAAATAGTTCAAGCCATGATTTGTCATAATTGTGATGATTATGGCTTATAGCTCATGAAAACCCCAAATCCACAATCTCAGAAAATTAGAATATTACATGCAATCAATAAAACAAGGATTGCACATAGAACAATATCGGACCTCTGAAAAGGATGGGTACTTGGTTTGGGCCCCTTTTGCAGCAATTACTGCCTCAATGCGGCGTGGCATGGAAGCTATCAGCCTGTGGCACTGCTGAGGTGTTTTGGAAGACCAGGATGCTTCAGTAGCGGCCTTCAGCTCTTCTGCATTGTTCGGTCTCATGTCTCTCATCTTTCTCTTGGCAATGCCCCATAGATTCTCTATGGGGTTCAGGTCAGGCGAGTTTGCTGGCCAATCAAGCACAGTAATCCCACGGTCATTGAACCAGGTTTGGGTGCTTTTGGCAGTGTGGGCAGGTGCCAAGTCCTGCTAGGAAATGAAGTCAGCATCCCCACAAAGCTCATCTGCGGAAGGAAGCATGAAGTGCTCCAAAATCTCCTGGTAGACAGCTGTGTTGCCTCTGGACTTAATGAAGCACAGTGGACCAACACCAGCAGATGACATGGCTCCCCAGATCAACACAGACTGTGGAAACTTCACACTAGACTTCAAGCATCTTGCAGTGTGTGCCTCTCCATTCTTCCTCCAGACTCTGGGTCCTTGGTTTCCAAATGAGATGCAAAAGTTGCTCTCATCAGAAAAGAGGACTTTGGACCACTGAGCAACAGACCAGGTCTGTTTTTCTTTAGCCCAGGTAAGACGCTTCTGACGTTTGTTGTTCAGGAGCGGCTTGACAAGAGGAATACGACATTTGAAGCCCATGTCCAGGATGATGCACTGACTCCAGCCTCAGTCCACTTCTTGTGAAAGTCCCCAACACTTTTGAATGGCCTTTTCCTGACAATCCTCTCCAGGCTGCGGTCATCCCTGCTGTTTGTGCACCTTTTTCTTCCACACTTTTCCCTTCCACATAACTTTCTATTAATGTGCTTTGTTACAGCACTTTGGGAACATCCAACTTCTTTTGCAATTACCTTTTGAGGCTTTCCCTCCTTATGGAGGGTGTCAACGATGGTTTTCTGCACAACTGTCAGGTAAGCAGTCTTTCCCATGATTGTGCTTCCTACTGAACCAGACAGAGAGACCATTTAAAGGCTCAGGAACCCTTTGCAGGTGTTCTGGCTTCATTAGCTGATTAGAGTGGGACACTTTGAGCCTAGAATATTGAACCTTTTCACATTCTAATTTTCTGAGATTGTGGATTTGGGGTTTTCATGAGCTGTAAGCCATAATCATCACAATTATGGCACATCATGGCTTGAACTATTTTGCTTTGCATGTAATGAGTCTATCTCATATATTAGGTTCACCTTTTAAGTTGCATTACTGAAATAATTGAACTTTTTCAGGATATTCTAATTTTTCGAGTTTCACGTATATCTGTCCTTTTTTTAAAAGGACCTTAGAGCAGTGTATATAGCTTCTTTCCCCCCCTTTTGCTTCTCTTTTACCCTCCTAGAATGTTAGACTGAAAGAACAGCAATCCCCAGTTTAGTCTGTAGACCTAAAAGCTACATATGGATTTAAACCAGGTGTCCTAGCTCTTGCCTTTGTCAGGGTTCCAGAAATTCTTCAGTTTAATCAGTAGCTCAAAGACAGGCATATTCTCAAAAAGTGCTTTATTAAAGCAAAAAACTTGGCATGTCTGTGAGATTTCGAAACTAAAGTTTCCTCCCAGACCTCCCACAATACTCAATCAACACCCAGCCATTTTCTCTCACATCATCAATCACGTGAACCAATCACCCTTCAACTACAATTCTTGCTGCGCCATAAAGAATGACCTTGATAGTCTTACGTATCTGTTATGTCTACTAAAAATTACTCAAATACCAACAGCCCCCCACTTCCATCCTCCGTATCAGTGTGGCACCTTTTTATAGGGATTCCAAAGCTGACAGGTGTCCCCCCTTAGAAAATTTGCCTCCT